AAAAAAAAAAAAAAAAAGATCTGTCAGTCAGATCTGCCCCAAGCCTTCCCTGAGGACAGAGTGGACATCTAGAGGACATCTAACATCTTGATCAGAAAGTTGTGCCGCTGTGGGTGGTCATATCTAACACGCAGAATCTGGCCGAAAAAGGGTGAATGAGACACTTTTCTCTCTTGAAATCCCAATTATAATTTAGGCCATTCGCACAGATAACATCAGATTTTACACCGGGTAATTATCTTGCCTGGTGCAATGCGAATACAACAATGGTGTTCATGAAGAATTAAACACAAAGCTCCAGGACAGGTTGTTGAGATGTATGCAAATGACGAAAAAACATAAAAATCTACCGACACATTACACGTACAAGATAAATGTTGTACCTTTATTTAGGTTCAGTCTGGAAGTATGTCCCTGTGTGACGTACAGTAGGTACAGTACTGTGGGTGTGTTTGTGTGTGGGATACATTACAATGTGTTCGTGCCATCTGTGTGGGAAGTGAATCCAAGTGGTGACCATAAACAAGATTCTCCCCATGAGGCTAACTGGCCAATTTGAAGCTTCGTGCACACCCACTCTTTGATCCTGGGTCACGGTAAAGTGCTGTCACCAGTCACCCACTTTGTCTAATGACTCCTCTTAATCCATTAATTAGCTAAAAAAGATTCAGTGGTGGGTGTAAATTTGCATATCAGTGCCACACTGTACTCCCATGTCTCTGAGCTAACGAAAACAATGTCTGATACATCAAAGAATGGATGTGAGCTTGAAAAAGTGGCAACCTGACAATGGTTTATTAATTTAGACAAATGCGCCCCTACAAAGGTGACAGTGACTGGTGGGCTTTCAGAACTCATTTAAAGATTCGGTGTAATACAGCGAGGGAATAGAAATTAGATATTATTAAATGCAACATTTTGAGTGCTTTAAGTTTTAGATCGCCTGCAGGCAGTTGATGTCTGGATGTTGAACTTATCTCTCTGAACTATCAGTTCTTTGTCACTGGAATAGTCGTGCAAAACGCATCTTTCAAAAACCGCTGATGATCTCTGGAATGCTACAAAACACTGAGAAGATGGGTAGTGGAAATGAAAGGAAGAGATTACACCCGGACGTCAGAGTGGACCGTGCCTGCATAATCTTCTATAATGACTCAACATATGTGCGTCAGTTATGTGAGTAAGCAGTGTCTGCCTGTGCTGTGAGAAAGGCAGTTCACTTTGATTTTCCACAGGGTCAAGGTATGCTGACTAATGGATGAATGGAACCTGTGAAACCTAAATGGAGTGAATAAGCAAACTTGATTATGGTCCTTTTCGCACACTGTTTCGATGCTAAATTAGATTTTTGTAACCCTGATTTGCATTTCACTTGTTGATTTGTTTATCTATAGAAGCGTCTAGATGAAGCTTAGCGGGCTGTTGCAACTAAATTAGGATTTATTGTTTTAAGTTCAGAAGCACCGTACTTACCCAGCCATTCAGTAAAAAAGATATTCTACAGTGGGGGTTACACTGGGTTCATGATTTGAAAAGAAAAAAAAAAAAGAAGAAGTGGAAGGTACAAAATGAACACACTGCCGGGCTAGAAGTAATGTGTGGAAGTAGATGTGTAGAAGATCTAGAGGCGTAGCTATTGCACAAGTCAGACTTTTTACTGCAGGCTTGAGAACTGTAAGTACTGCTGAACTAGTGCTCCATTGTCAAGATCAATCGTGCAGAAAATTAAACTTTTGTTCTACTTTTGCTCTCAAACGGCACGACAGAATGGTCTAGTAACTAGCTGGTTTAAAGGGCTTCTGTCATGATTTCCCCATTTTGTGGTGCGCCGAGATGTTGGAGGAGTGTGCGCTGTGTCGTCGCGGGATGGCTACGGGAGAAATGCATGACATCTTGGACAAGAGCGCAGCATATGAGATGAATCCCTTGTTATCCCTCTCAGAAAACATTGCAGGAGTGCCAAATCGTCTTCGTGAGGAGGACGTTTGTGTGGGTGGTGTGTGTGTCTGTATTAGGAGGTGATAGTATTAAAGAAACACACTGAGCTGATAAGAATTCAGAGTACCAAATGATAAATATGGATAATTCTGGAGAAAATATGAACGCAAGAATATCCCGTGTACATCCTGCTAATTTTACTCTCTTATATTTTTGCTCTTCTATGCACCTTGCTCAACTTTGCCGCAAATCCAACATGCCTAGAACCCCTGCCGTGACAGACCATCACCCTTTCTGTAATTGAACCATGAGGGAAAAACCAAGGCAGCAAATGCTGATGTTTGCTGATGGGAGGATAAAGCTTCCAATCATGTAAACAACCACAGGCTCAGACAAACAACTTTGTGCTGCATCAGTCTCAAAGGCCCCCCTGGGCTGAGAAACCTTCATTTATTAAATATTGGGGAACAAAGTAGAAAAAAGAGGGGAACTGTGCTATTAATAGTACCGTGAACGTGGCAACGATCTGTGTTTTGTAGCTTTCACAGGTGAAACAGTTGCTCTGTCAACGTGCACAAGAAAACCTGCAGGTTTCCTGCCAAACTCAGCGAAGATGTAAGATGATGTTTTGTTGAAATGCTGATCTTTTACACACTCATCATGGTGGCCATTACTGAACTGTGGCCACCAGCGAATAAGCTGAATAAATATTTAATGACAAAGCTGTGAAAATGATCAATGGATGGTGCAGTGGAGCCAAGATTCCCAGTCTAGATAGATTTATCATTGTAACTGAGAAAGTTCTGAGACTGATGACCATTCTCCTACAAATTTCCAACTTGAGCCTTTAGAAATAGGAAATAAAAGTAATACCGCGGTATTGTATTACGGGGTGGGATGAGAGGGAATAGGTGCTATTTGTCATCGGGTGAAAATTTCTGAATTAATGATTAGTGTCACATGAAAAATTCAGCATGTGGCCGCGTACACCTACATGTGTGCCTCGTAGCTAGGCATTTATGCATGTGTGATGCATCAGGCTGCCTCAGTAACACGGGCACTCTGTGGGTGACCCTGTCAGACGGCATGCAGCTGGACTTAGATTCAAAATAGCTTGTTCAGGTACATTTGGTTCTGCGTTCATTCCAATCATCTGACATTCAGTCAGAGTCTGCCCCTCTGTAAGTCTGGCTCCAAGTAATGGAAACTGGCAGACAGGCTTCAGGTGCAAATATAAATGTCACCGCAATTATGGTGGAGAGAAGTCTGCAAACAAACATCATCGGGAGGGGTGGGCTTTTGTATAGCTGTGAGAGTGTGAGAGAGAATATGTGCATGAAAATTGCAGGAGAACACCATGGGTACTGCAGTGTAGATGGTCATAATTCTTTCTCTTTTTCTGCTTCCTATCATCCTTGTTGCTATTTCCACATCTCTGACTGTCTTATTTCTCTTTAGATTCCATTCACATCAAAAGTGAGGCAAATTTCATTGTCAACCCACAACTGCAAATGCTCGGACGGGAAAATTTTAAGTTTCATAATAAGCTACTTTATTCAACTATTGATTAACATGTATTTCTTTAGGATATCATTTGCATTCTGTCTTTGCACACTGCCTGCACCAAATAAAGAATGCACATACTTTTGTCTCTGAAATTGTGCTGCAGTCTTAGCCAGGCTTAGCTCAGTGCTTGAATGCCTGCGGAATGAGCACTCCTAAAACTAAGGAAATACTTTTCTATAGACAGA